GAGTCCAGAGAATATGACCTGAACAAGGATTACACAAATAGACATGCTTACATAGAAGGGAAAATTTCACAAGGTCTCAAACCTAGACAAAGAACTGCAGACAACTAAGGAATGCTGAGAGTGGGAAAAATAGTGTTCCCCAGGAAAGAGCACACCAATTGGTTATTGAATACCAAATGATCTGCCCTGAAAATACACTACAAGTAACATTGTATGTGCTAAGCAGGTTGTATTTCTATACTTAGAAACACACACACATACACACACAACAATTAAAGATAGAAAGTTCATGAATTTGAAAGCGAGCAAGGGGGGGGTACTTGAGAAGGTATGGAGGGAGGGAAGGGTAGGTGTAGATGATGTAATTATTTTAATTAATCTCAAAAATAAATTTATTAAAAAATAAAACACCATGAAAAAATTTCTTCAAGCCTATAAAGTACCAACTATAACATTGCATATTAGCAGACCAACAAAAACCATTTTCTTTAGCTTCTTTTCTATTTCATTTTAATACCAGAGGACCAGGAAATTTAGGGAGATGAGAGGTCTGAGGTCCAGGGGAGCCACTGGTAGCTTGAGCTGTGCTTCTTGTATGTGAAGTTCAAGAGCTGACTTGAAAAGAAATTTTGAATTTTCTCGAACACTCAAGTGGACTCTGCTTTGATTAATTTTGTGAGTGCTATGGTAATTGGAGGACATTTTATTTGACGTGGTTGCTTTGTATAGCCCTAGCTGGCCTAGAACTTATGTAGATCAAGCTGGTGTGGAACTCATGAGTTCCACCTGTCTCTGCCTCCTGAGTGATGCAATCAAAGGTGTATAACACCACACTAGTGATATTAGTCTTTTGAATTAAAATGAATCACAATGTTACCACTGCAATACATTAAAAAATGTTGTTTATTCATTCTTGGTGAACTTTAACCTAGGAAGCAAGGATGTGGAATGAATCAATTTACTTAGAAACTGAGCCTCTTTTGACAATCTGGAAGCCTTTGCCTGAAAGATTCCAAGTGAATGATTATAAACAGTGTCTAGGAGAGTGGTTTGCAAGGATGGTTACAAACATACTATTTATGAAGTCCTCTACAGAGTGATTCATTTAATTTCCTGTCCTCAAAAGCTCATGAACTTAAATGATTGATTATTTTGACTAGAGGAGAAACTAGTCATTTGTGTAGGAAGTTGGGATATTTTTTTAAAGTATGTTAAATTCCAACATACTAATATTTAATATTATTATATTCTAGTTGTTCATGTAATTAGCCAAAAGGGAAGCAAAATTGCATAGACAGAAAAGCAAAAAGCAAAATAATGTTTTTTAAATTTGTGTTTTATGTGTATAGAAACTGGAGTTATAAACAGTTGTGAGTAACTGTATGAATGATGGGAATTGAACTTGGGTCCTCTGGAAGAGCATAGAGTACTCCGAACCACTGAGCCATCTCTCCAGCTCCAAAATCATGTTAACATTATATGGTTATATGCCTGACAAAGCAGTGGCACCGAAATGGAAAATCTGTTATAAACAAAGCTTTTATAAAAAATAGAAAAATATTAAAATGTAAAAATTCAGTTACATCTCAGCTAATATGATTGCTATACAAGAATGACCAGTTTGAAAATAAGAATTGCGATACTCATTTTTACTAACACCAAATCCTATAAAATACCCTAGAGTAAATCAGCAATGCATCAAACCTACTAAGTAAAACTTCAAGACCCTACTAAAAAGATAGAAAATAAGCCCAAGAAAATAGAGATACAGAATCTACTTTTTGGTATGGAAGGTTTAACTCAGGAGATGTCAATTTAAGTTAATGTTAATAGAATCTCGATTCAAGAGGCAACACAAATGAATTATAGTATTTGTAGGAAAGTGGAATCAAGAGTGATGATATTAAGCCTGTAAAATACACAAGGTATAAATGATAAAAGCTTGAATAGTCAAAGCAGTTTGTTACTAATGTTACTAAGTTAATTTAATTAATGGAATCATAGAGTTCATACAGTCAAAAGTGGCTTCCCTGGTCCACATGACTGTAGTTTCCTGCCTGGACTGTTGCAGTAGCTGGCTAAGTAGCTGTCCTGTGGCTACACTTAGCTCTACATAACCTGACCTCATCAAAGTAGTAAGAATGACTGTTTGGGGGCATGAAACGAAGCCAGGTATGGTAGTATATGAAATTCCAGTGCTCAGAGTGATACAGAGAGATGGCAAGTTCTGGCCAGCCTGAGGTATGTAGTAAGACTAAGTCTCAAAAAGGAAAAATGTGGGGGAGGGCATTCAAATAAAGGAACAACTCCATGAGAGCTCTGCCATGGCACCTGTTTCACCGTACATACTAACCAGACACCTGTACTGGCTTCATGGCCTCCCTAACCTGGCCCTGAGTAATTTTCAGGCACTCTCAGTATTCATTGTGGTCTCTGAGCCATGCTGGGTTTTCTGATGCATCTTGAATATACCCATATTCTACCTTAGAAGATATCTCCTCCAGAAACCTTGTTTCCTTGAATAGCTAAAGGCTAACTCCCCAACCTCCTTCAAGTCTTTGCTTAAGAGTCAAATTTCAGTCCATTCCTCTGACTGTCCTTTCTCTCTCACTTGGTGTGGGTGATTGCCCTTACTCCCTCCTCTCACGTGATGGAGTGTTCCTTCTCATACAACAGATCATTGGTGAGTTTTGTTTACTCACTAATATAGGTGGCTATATTGTGTTGAATCAATTAATAAATTGCACAGAGAGAAAATTGGAAAAATAAAGGGGATATACATATATATATATATATATATATATATATCAATGTAAAATAAATGCCTATACTTTTTCAAGTGCTTGTAAGTGCATACTATACTTGTAGAAGAATAGCAGAAGCATTAATCATGGTTGACTTAGAGAAAGAGTTCACAGAATAACAGGAATGGTGCATTCAAAACCACTAGAGCCTGAACCTGTTGCTTCTTTGTTAAAAAGTACAGTGTACAGTTGAGCCTAATTCTGGAATTAAAAATTCCTCATAAAGTTGAGGCTCAGCTATTGAGTGCCTTCAAAAGTGTTCATTTGTTCAGCCACAAGGTGTCCTGTATCTACTGTAAGCTCTTAAAGAAGCCCTGACAACGTCACAGCTTTCCAGTTCCCTTAGCTCTCTGTAGCTCATTGTCACTAATAGTCCTGAGCTATTTCCTTATAGATAATAGAGCATCTGTTCAGTTTTATGTGGAGATTTTCTTCACTGTACAGCTTCTTAACATCATGATAACTTCGGTGTTGCAGAGAGATCTTAACTATAAAAAAAACTAGCATACATATTCTAGACAAGGTCCCTCTACATAGTCTTGGCTGGCCTAGAGCTCACTATGTAGACCAGGCTGACTTTGAAATCGCAGAGATCCACCTGCCTCTGCCTCCTGGGGTAAAAATTGTGTGTCACCATGCCCACCCAGATATTCTTAATTTATAATTTATAGTATGAAGGCCAGCAGCATGTTTCATTGGGTAAAGATGCTTGTCTACAAGCCTGACGACCCAAGTTTGATGCTCTGAACTCACATGGTGGGAAGAGAGAACCAGGCCCTTTAAGTCATCCTTCAACTTCCACACATGTGCTGTGGCTCACACACACAATACATGAATGTAAACATTGCAGATTACAGTTAGCAAATTGAATTGCCTCCGTTTTCGTCTTTTTCAAATTGAGAAATAACTTAGCAAATGAATGAAATTTGCATATTGTGTGTATGAAAGTATATTTTTATTTGATTATATTCTTTTATTGCTTTAATTCTGTACCAGCAATTGCCCAGAACCACAGTTGAGAAATATTTTCCGAATGTTCACAATACTCAATGAGGTGTCAGGCCAGAGGTACTGTGTAAGATACAAAGATAAATATACACTGTCTTCATGGACCTTTGCTTATGACAGTCATGGCCACATGTAACTATGACACATGTCAGAATGTAAAAAATCATTAAATGACAATGCTGGGCATAGTTGGAGCAGATAGTTGATATTAGTTTGGGGACTACAAAAATAATATGACATTTGAAAAGGGCTTTGTACACAGTTTCATTCTATGAGTTGAGAGGCAATGTTGTAGAGGTTGAAATATCTGTGCAAATACTGCATTATGACTTTTATCAAAGACAAGCCTAAGACCCTTATGCATAGGTGGTAAATATGTATTTGTAGAATGAATATCTATATTCCCCTTGATGCCATTTTCAAAAAGAAAATTATGTCATGCATTTTATTAATTGTAACATTGAAAGACATGAAAACCTTCCTAGCAATTAAGAAACTTTGGAAAAATTGCTGTATTAGATGATTGATATTTTTAACTCAGATTCTTTTGTTCAGTTATTTTTAAACATCTAGAAAATGTGATATGTCTTATTAGAATAACACACAATGAGTTCTTATTATTCTAAAAAACCATCATCTATTGTCTCACTTAATACTCATGAAAATTCAGGTGTTAGCTGCTCATATTCACATATTATAGATGGAGAAGCTGAGGTACAAAAGCTTAAGAAGTGTGTGTGTGTGTGTGTGTGTGTGTGTGTGTGTGTGTGTGTGTGTGTGTATAGAGGTCTGCCACAAGGGCCAAATGCAAACAGAATTCATGTTTTTACACTGCAAAGATGGCTTTGTCATTTTCTACCACTCTGGTGTCATTCTCTGTTACATAAAGTGAGGTTAGTGTTAGTTCAGTCAGATGAGTTCATGTTGACTGCCTGCTTACCCTGGGAGCATGTGAGATGCATCATATGATCTTAATAAACTGGTTATTAACTTGCAAGATTCTCACAACACTGCTAAGTTTTAAAACAATGAAATAATAGTCAGATACCAATGCCAAAGTGATAATATTATACAGTGCTCAAATTAGGCTCAGTTCCAACAAATAGTTAAATAAAGTGTAGATTCTAAAACAAAATTAATATTTAAAAATAAACATTATTCATTGTCTGGATTTATGTATTTATTTAGATGGCAGAATGTACACATAGGAAGAGGTGGTATAGAAGTGCCCTTGAGGAGGCGTACCAGCTCTACAGGCATTCTCCTGAGCAAAGACTAGAGGTGTGCTGCCTATCAAAACGGGGTATGTGCAGTTTCTTTCTTACCATCCAGTCAGAACTCCTAGATGTATGTATTCTAAGACATGTTTGCACATTTAAAAATCTGTGTCTTTTCTTCAAATACAAATGTTGTTTCCGTTCATTGTAAAAGAATTTTCAAATGAATTAACAGCGATATCTTGTCCTCCAAAATTATTCTCCGTGACTAAGCTCTGTTTAAACACAGGCACTGTAATTAGTGCATCCTGGTATTTTATTTACTCTTAGACTTCATAGGCCATTATTTCAAAACATATAATTCAAAAATTAGGAACCATAGATTTAAAATGTATTCCTAGTATGATAATTTTACATGGGTATGCTGAGTTTTCTATTATTATGTTTTGTTTTTTGACAATACAGTGTTTTCAAAATGCTTGATTTTAAAATAAATTCAAAGCAGGGGTGAGCTATATACTCACAATTTAAAAATTGTTTTTATTCTATTTTTCATTATCTATTATGGACACACCATGGTGTGCTTCTGGAAGTCAGAGAACAACTTGAGAGAATCAGTTAACTTATATATCAATTGGGTCCTAAGGATCAGTCCAACTCAGTTCAAAAGACAAGCGTCTTTACTGGCTGAACCATGTCGCAGGCTCACAAGCATTTTTTTAATTAAAATTATTTTCTCCTCATACATAACTGCATATTACTTTTATGAAAATCCCTCCTCACTCATCTGATCAAACTCCTTCCAGGTCTCTCCTTCCCATTCCCCTCCCAACTTCATGATTTTATATATATTTTTTATATGATATATATATATATATATATATATATATAAAAATCTCAACCTACTCAGTCAGTCAGTGCTGCCCACATGCACAGATATTTAGGGCTATCCATTGTAGGGTCTCTGTCCCTGACAAAAACTAACTTTATCTACCCTGGCATCTGTCAGCTACCTGTAGCTTCTCAACTAGGAGTAGGGCCTTGTGATCAACCCACTTCATGCTAGGTTGATCTTGTGCAGGTTCACAGCTGTTTAGAGTTTATGAGTACAGCTGCCTGTCACATCCAGAAGACACTATTTTGTAACAGTCCTCCCAAAATCGTTTACCTCTGCCCCCTTGGCCATTATGTTCTCAGAACTTTGGGGAAAGGGCAGTGACATAGATGTCTCATTTAGGGATAAGGAGTCCACAGTAGTTACTCTTTACATCATTTGTGCTTTTTCTGTTAACTTAAGTCTATTGCAAAAAGGAGCTTCTCTGATGATGGAGGGCTGAGCTGGACTACCTATGGGTGGAAGTGTTTAGAAGGCAGTTAGATTCTGTATCAGTTTAGCAAGATGACAGTAGTAGGTTATCCCCTAGGATCTATGACCTCTCAAGCTGCAAGTTTTGGGCCAGGTTTACTGTACCAGGTGTGAGTTTCCTTCTGTTGATCAGTCCTTAAATCCAATTAGATAGCTGTTTGTTATCCCCTGAGACATTCATGCTGCAATTATGCCAGTGGGTATAACTTGCCAGAGGAGCCCACAGATTCACAACTGGGCAAGACTGTTGGTACCTTTTATCTTACAGCCTAGCACCTCATAGCACTATGAAAAGCTGTCCTTAAGGAGGGAGGCTTCTAGGTTGATACCAGCCTGTGACCAAAGTATGTGGCATTTTCTGCCATAGGTTCTTACCATCAACTTCTGGTGAGCAACCAAGGGTAGTGGCAATAGCCTCCTCAAACTACTTTAAAAATTATATTACAAGCATAATTCTAATGCTTTCAAGCTTAATCTAGTGTTCATTATACATTATATTAAATACATCAGGTATTTTTACTATACATCGGGTCATTTTCAGGAAATGTTCTTGAATCATAGATGTTATGGTTTATCTGCATAGCCTTTAAACTCACTCATGTGAGGGCTCAGTTGGCATGGCACACTTAACTTAAGATTATGATTGTTCCATAAAATAATTATAATAAACTCAAATATGTTTTAAAGTATTTTTTGTCCAGTGATTGCAGTAATTTTATACTCTCCACAGCCTTGTGTCTATTACCTTAAGTTTGAAAGCAGGGTCCTTTGTAGGAAGATCAGACCTTCAACTGAACCCTGCAGTAATCATGAAGATTTTTCTCCATTGGAAAAGCTTCATGTATATGCTCAGTAAACTTGTATGGGAAGCTAAACCACCTAAGTTTAGGTTTTAAAGCCATCTAGTTCACTATCAGACCAGAAGAGACACTGACTTCTGCAGACATGACTCATTTCTTACACTGAAAATGCCATTTGCCAGCAGCATAGGTCAACTCGCTGTGTTGTCAAAGTACAGCCCTACCCCTGTGCAATCAGTTTTCTTGTTCAACCACACAGGCTTCGAAACATTTCATCCTTAAATAACATAGTCACTTAACGGCAGGAGGATTGCATCTCTTCCACTAGTGCTGCCATGCTCTCTTGGTGGGATGGACTGTCTTGGTCATCAGTATGCTGGGTGCTTGTCTCCTGCTCTTTGACATTTCCCCTGTCCCAAGAGCCTCAAGAACAATAATTCTCTGGTTGGTTCTGTAGCAAAAATGAATTCTCTTACTAAAAGTCTCATGACTTTTATATGCAGAATTTGATGTAATTCAGCCTGACTTTTGAGAGCCATGACCTTAGGACTCCTTTTTGTCCTTGAAGGAGCCAGTGCAGGAGGTAGAGACAGATATCTAAGAGTTATGTCTTTGCCAACACAGGATTGCTCTTCTAAACCTGCAGCCTCAACTCAAAAATAGTTGATTCAATCTCTGATTTTGCTTAGCACCCAGTGTGGAGTTGGGTATAGTATTTAACATCTTATTGTATCTAGAAACAGTTTTCAGAGGTTAGCCAACATTTAGGTATTTCACTATGGGGAAGTAGCTTAGAGGCCACTTGGAGACTTTCCTCTGACAGTTTATACTCCAACCTAGAACTAATTATTTTAAATAGTCTATGTTCTTTTGATCTGTAACAATTGGCACTCTATAGTTTTTGATGCAGCTTCTTTATTTAAAATGTGCATGGTCATTAGATGATATGTATAAAGGACTCAGACAGTGAAGTTAAGGTTCTGATTTAATTGCCCCCTTTGTTGTTGTTTGTTTTATTTAACTAACACTCCAACTTAATAATTCTTTTACTGAAGCTTGAAAACTTGATGATTGTCTCCTCTCTCTCTCTCTCTTTCTCTCTCTCTCTCTCTCTCTCTCTCTCTCTCTCTCTCTCTCTCTCTGTGTGTGTGTGTGTGTGTGTGTGTATGTGTGTATGTGTGTGAGTAAATCAAATACCAAAAGACTCACATTTGCTAGGCACTACCTAGCAACTATAAACACTACCAGTACGCTACCTGCTTAGCTCTGTGCTCTACATTTGGAGTGGATTTGCCTATTTCTGAGTTTCCCCCCAGAATTACTCATGATTTTACAAAATAGACTTTCATGTTTAGAGTGCCTTGGGTTCACAAAAATTGGGTGTAAGTACAGTTTCCTATACCTTCTGTCCACTCAGAATTCAGTCTCTCTCCCAGTTACACCCCACACTCTGTGATTTGTTGTAATTAGTGAACTTACATTGACACATCCTAGTTATCTCCAGAGTTCATAGTGTACCTGAGGGTTCACTCCAGGTTTACACTCTGTTTGACTGCTCTAATCTCATGTGTCCATCATTGTCCTACTGCACATGATAATTTCATGGCCTTAAAGATCCTGGTGTCGTGCTCGCTTCGGCAGCACATATACTAAAAAATTGGAACGATACAGAGAAGATTAGCATGGCCCCTGCGCAAGGATGACACGCAAATTCGTGAAGCGTTCCATATTTTTTAAAATTAAAAAGAAAAAAAAAAAAAAGATTCATCTCTTCTCCCTGCCAACACTCAGCCACTTTTCCTGTCACTGTCTCCACAATTTTGCCTTTTCCAGAATGTCTCATGATTGGAATCATAAGTAAATCACCCTTCCACATTGGCTTCCTTCCTATAGTAACATACACTTGTTTCGTCTTTGCATGAGTCTGTAGCTCATTCCTTTTGGTGCGGAGTAATATTCTACTTCTATACATACTAGAATTTCCATCATTCATCTACCTAGAAACACCAGGATTGCTTCAAGTATCAGTAATTACTGATAAATGTCATTTTTGGTGGCCATGAAACTTCAACCCCCTTTAATAAATAATAAGAAGCATGGTTGTGGAGGCCAGCCCCCAGCTCCCATCTTGCCCCGGACTTCCCTTTTGGAGGAGAGAGAGAGAGAGAGAGAGAGAGAGAGAGAGAGAGAGAGAGAGAGAGAGAGAAGAGAGAGAGAGAGAGAGAGAGAGAGAGAGAGAGAGAGAGAGAGAGAGAGAGAGAGAGAGAGAAGAGCTCCCATCCTGCCCCAGACTTCCCTTCTGGACAAGAGCTCCCATCCTGCCCCGGACTTCCCTTCTGGACAAGAGCTCCCATCCTGCCCCGGACTTCCCTTCTGGACAAGAGCTCCCATCCTGCCCCGGACTTCCAATTTGGGCAAGAGAGCTCCCATCTGGACAAGAGAGAGAGACTTCCTGAATCTGTCAGCTCTGTCTGAACCAAGTGTGCGGATAAGGCCAAGAACGAACCACAAGGAGATGGGCAGACGTCAAGGCAGAAACACATACAACAAAATGAATAGCAATACAGCATCACCAGGCCTTAGCCCTCCTCCAACACCTAGACCTGAACATCAGAAATTGGAAGAAGCAGAAGAAAACAGCCTTATGAATGACATCATGAAGAAGCTAGAGGCTTGTGTAGAGGAAAAGACAAAAAAATGTGAAGAACGCTGTAAACAACTAGAGGAAAGGGCAAACAAATTAGAAGAAATCAATAAAGTCCTGGAAGAAAACAATAAAGTACTGAGAGAAAATCAAGAAAAATCAATGAAACAAATGAAGGAAACAGTCCAAGACCTGAAAAGGGAAATAGAAAAAATGAAAAAGACACAAACAGAGGGAATGCTGGAAATAGAAAATCTGAGTAAATGATTGGGAACT